AAAGTGGCTGCCTACATTGTTCAATGTACATCATACTGCACTTTTGGCCTGCTCGCTAATTTGTGTCAGCCATGGGGGCAGGGCAGGATCATAAGCCAGCAGCAGTAAACATTTACAACATTAGCGAGCGTTTTTACCTGCATCTCCGGCACGCGAACAGAAATGGCTCCAGCGATGATACATTGCTCGCAGCCATGCAATTAAGAATCGCAGCCCCTGCCACTCCCCCGCCACGTCCCAGCCAGCCACTTCATTCCATTCCACCGCATATCCACTTGCACTGCCCAGCCCAGCCCAGCCCCGCCCTGAGTATGTGTGTGTGTGCGTGTGTGGGTTGGGCGTTCACTTAGTCCGAAAGAGCCGAAGCGAACCGCAAAAAGCCGAACTGCACTGCATTGGTAAAGAGAGATAGAGAGAGAGAGAGGGAGAATGGGAGAGAGCGATAATAAACAATGGGGAATAGCGTTCGAGTTGACAGCGAAACACTAAAACGGTAATTGCCTGTAAACATCGTTTGAAGAGGGAGGGAGGGGCAAGCGGGAGAGTGGAAGTGGGGAGACTGTGGCGATGTCATAATTAGAAACTGAATGAGTGATTAAAGTCCTCCCATACTCGGCACAGAGCTCTAATATTGAGAGCTAAATAGAGTTGGAAAATCCCAAAATTTTAGCAGCTAATAAATAAGTATAATTTAAAAAGCAAAAAGAAAACTTTTTGGGTGCAAATTATTTAACGCTTTCTGGAGTAAGGAAAAGGAAATGTTTGTTTGCCAAAGATAAGACAAGGGTTATGGGGTCAATCAAATAGTTTATTCTTTGCTCCCTCCAACCTCTTACGCGGCATGTCCATCAATCAATCAATCAAGGTTAGCAATCGCTTCTTGTCAAAACCCGTGAACACATTACACGAGTGTCAGTGGCAGATCACAAAATTCCCTGGGGGCACACGTGCGTGCCAACACACATGGACTTGGGGGGACTAAATCGAAACTTTAAAAGCGAAATGTAAACACTTTCGGAAGTATCAGTTTTAGGCGCCCAAAAATGCTGCAAAATGCCACAAGCGAAACTTGCAAAATTGCAACACAAAATCCACCAGGGGGGGGGAGAAGACAGGGCTGAAAAAGATGCACCGTGGGCGTGGCAAATGGCAGAAGCAGGCCGGCCGCACAGCAACGATTGTTCTTATGTTTATGCGCGTTTATTTACGACTTAAAATTTGAATAATTTACGATGCCAACGCTGCCCGCTTAAGAATGCCATGAGGAAGGGTGTCCCAGAATATGGACAAAGGGGAAGGCCATGTGTGTGTGTGTGTGTGTGTGTGCCATGCAGAACAGCAAAAGGGAGAGAATTCCATCGCCACCACTCCTCTCCTTCTCCGCCTGCATGAAAAGGCAAACAAAACAGGACACGAAACATTGAATTTGCTTGGCTTAGACGAGGCCCTCGGCCATATCCACAGCCAAAGCCAAAGCCAAAGCCACAGTCAAAGCCAAAGCCACGACTACTCCGGTTCCGGTTCGGCAATTTTATGTCGAGTGTCCCTGTCGGACAGACGGACGAGTTGGACGGTCTAAACTTTGCATAAGCCGCCCCGTTCCGACCCTTGACTAACACTAAGAGCCCGAGAACATATTGCAACAGGGAACGACGGCATGCGGCATGCGGCATGTGGCAAGCGGCGGAAATGCCAGCGATGGCGATAAACAGAAACGGAAACGCAAAATGCCACTATTAACCGGAACTTAAATTATTGCATTTGTGATGGCAGAGATTTTCAGTTTCCGTGGGATTTACCAAGCCATGCAAAAGGGTGGAACCCCCATCGAAGTGGCAACATAATATTATAAAAAATATTGATATATACAATAGAAATAGCTGTCAATCATAGCAGAATATTTTAGAACTCATTCATCGCATTAGGGGGAAGGAAGCAAATCAAAAACGTTTGGAAAATGTCGAGTCTAACAGATGCCATGTACTACGCACAAATATCTTGTCCCAAAAGGAAGCTCACGATACTCCGAGGCTTTATTTGGCCCACGCTCGATAACATTTTCGATGCAGGTGAGTGCTGTACATGCCACACCGAACTTAATTTCAAGCTATGTAAGTCGCTTTGCAGCCGCCCAAATTGGCATCGTTGGCCGTTACTTGATAAGCGCCAAGGACAATACCATCATTGGCGACCATTTCGCATTGCGTTATTTGCTTGAGAGGCAGCACACGATCCTGGTGTGTGACTCCTTGGATGGCCTCAACAACGAAAAGGTGTGCCTTGAAGTTTCCGGCGAGACTGCCACTGAAGAGGCTGTGGCACAGGGCCTGGAGCTGGAGCTCACCAATTCGGAGGAGGCACTGTTGAAGGGAGTCACCAGTCAGGTTGTGATCGCATTCAGGCAGTTCCTCTCGCGGCAGAAACAATCGAAAGCTTAGAGTAAAAATTCAAAGTGAAACGCTTTCCCCTGTACTGAAGAGCTGATAAAGCTGTCCGACTATCTTCGGTAGATAAATAGCCAGAGGTATCTTTCAGATAAGATTCTTTGAGTGTCTACTTTAATTACGAATCAAACTCTGCACCTTGAACCTCGTTTATGATATCAGTCCACTCCAAGCACTTCAGCGATAATCCGATGGAAGATATCAAAATTAATTAAATTCTAAACTGTCTGAACCGATTTCAGTTTGGTTTTTATTCGAACACAAGAACTGTGTTTCTGCCATTTAATTTGTATGCTAAAAAATATATAGATGGTATTCCCTATTGGTGTAGAGATGGAATCACTTGGAAGATTGCTCATCAAACATTTTGCGTGCCTCAATCCGCATGACCTTGCCGTTGACATTCTTTGGGATGTGATCGACAAAGACAACGCCGGCATTGAGCTGTTTGTAGTCCACGACCACACGCTGCGCCACATAATCGATGATCTTCTGGGCTGTGATCTCCACACCCTCCTTGCGGATAACCAAAGCTCCAGCTGCATCGCCATAGCGCTCATCGCGCACACCCACCACACACACATCCTCGATCTCTGGCAGCTCGGCAATGATCTGCTCGATCTCGTTGGGCCAGTAGTGCTTGGACTTGTACTTTAGCAGATCCTTCTTGCGATCCACCAGATACAGGTTGTTGTCGTCGTCGAAGTAGCCCAAATCCCCGAGATTGATCCAACCATCCTCGATGGTGGCGGCAGTGTCCTCTGGGTTGTCCAGATAACCATTCCATTTGACTCCAATGTCGATGAGCACCTCGCCCACACCATGTGGGCCCAGCAGCTGTCGGTTTTCGTCGAGGATCTTGATTTTCATGCCCGGCCCCAGGCGGCCCACAGAGTTCTCCAGAGTCTGATCAATGTTGACCGTCACGATGCCCGTTTCGGTGGTGCCGTAGGAGAACATGATGTAGCACTTGGGCAACAGTTCCTGGCACTTGCGCAGCAGCGCCAGCGATATCCAGCCTCCGATGACAAAGGAGATCTTCAGGCTGCGCAGCGTCTCCTCGGTGGCCAGGGGACTGGTGTACAGCTCGTAGGCCTGCCACGGCGCCATGGCGATGCAGGTGACCTTGTACTTGTGCACAATGGCAGCGGCCCACTCGGCGCTAAAGTTCTGGCTGGACACGATGCGGGTGAATCCGAAGTTGAGGCTCATTACCATGATCGAGAAGCCAGTCATCCAATCAATGGCCGCACTGGTGTACAGCACATCGTAGCTGAAGCAGAAACTGTTCAAGCAGAGGAAACGCCGATTAGTTGGAGTCTATGCTGGGGTTAGGGCTTAAGGGCAACTCACGATGTGCAGCTGCAGAGATGACGATGTGAGAGCGTCACTGCCTTGGGCAGGCCAGCGGTGCCTGAGGAGCACAGCACCGCAGCCGTTTGATCACCGCCAACAGCCAGGGGCGTGGGTCTAACAAAGAAGCGAAGAGAAAGGGATTTGGCAGAGTTCTTGAAAGGTGGAAAACCTTGCTGCCCCCCACACTCACTTGTACATCGCCTCTGCGGGTTGTGGCTTTATCAAATCCTCCACACTGGTCACACCCTCCACGCGACCGGTCAGCGTAATGATCTTTGGCGACCATTCCTTGGTGACTTCCTTAATGGTCTCATAGTCGGAGGCGTCGCAGAACATGATCTTGGGCTTTGTGACGGAGTAGAGTCGAGCGATAACATGTGGCTCCCTGCTGACGTTGATGGCATGGAAGGGCGTCGTGTTGAAGAAGCAAGCGACGGCCACGGGCATCACATAGGTGCTGCCCTTGCCAATGATTCCGACCATATCCTCGTGGGTCAAACCCTCGGCCTTCAAGTAGATGGCAATGCGGGTGGCCAATGCGAGCACATCGGCATTGGTCAGCACTGTGTCATCGTCGGCGGTGATCTACTTTTTAGATAGGGTTAACTCATCAGAACCCCAGTCCATCCAGAGCATCGCTGGGTCTATCCCTTACCTGAAGGACATTGTTGGACCAACATTTCAGCGAGTTGTACACCACCTGGCCAATCGAACAATTGTAGTCGTACAGCGTGACCCTGGGTGCACCGCTCCAGATCTTCGTTTCCTTGTCGTAGAATGTCGGAAAGATAGCCCTGGCCGTCATATTGCTGGAGTCAAATTGAAAGTCGCTACTGACGGCCCACCAGCCGAGCAGTCTTTATATATCTAAATATCTACAGGGTGGGGCAATTTGCAAAACTCAATCATTCTGGCACCCTGTGTGTAGCTTTATCTAGCGTCTTCATATACGGCAGCATTATCAGACTGAGAATCCATGCAGTCCAAAGTTTATCCAAGCCAAGCAGATTAGCGGGTTGCTTCGAATTCTTTGAATGGATGAGGCATCAGCTGCCTCTTGTCGGCCAAACTCTGCGGCTAATCTCGCAAGTTTTAATTTCCGTTTGAGGGGGACATCCGCTTGTTTGACGACCTTCGTGGGAAACAGAAGATAATTGTAGCCCCCCAGTAGGTTCAAGATTAAGCTGAAAGATCGAAAATTTAAGTAGGGAAAACGAGAAGCTTAAGTTAAGTCCCAATCCTTGGCTCATTTTGTTGGTGTTTATCTTATGCTAAAGGGGATTTAATGTTGCTTTAGTTTGGATCCAGCGAGTTCTCTCGGTTTTCTAGGTTTTCCAACAGCATTTCCCTTACGTATTCACTAAAAAATTCCCCAAAATTAAGCACGCATTAATATTTAATTACTTTTTAAGAAATATCTCTGGCATGGCTCTCTCTCTCTCTCTGAATACTATTCCCTCTTTTTAAAGGGGCTTGCTTGTCGTTGGGTGCCTCATTTTATTGCCATAATAATTTGGGTGGCCACGCCCTGTTGCACCATTTTCGCATGGTGTGTGGCAGCATCCATGAACTTCCGCATCCGTTGTGGTTGCTCCGCTGCATGCATACATTTGCATTGCATTATAGTCCCATTCCCACCCAACTGCTGGCTGGCCAAAAGCAAGCAAAAGAGTTTCTGAAGGGTTTCTGCAGGCAAAATGAGCAAAGAAAATGGTGCAACGAATGGACCCCAAATGGTTCTGGGGCCATCCAATATGCTTCCAGTGATTGGCATGCAAATAACTGAAGATAACTGAAGGGGCAGGGGCACTGCAACTTAAAGCTTTAAAATACGCACACACACGCACAGCCCTGCTCGTGCTTTGGTGTGTGGATATTTCGATATCGATTTGATTGGCGGTTTACGGTATCCGCTCCTGTGGCTTTTCCATTCGTTGGTCACTTTGCTTGCTCATGCGAGGGGGCAGGCGATTGCTTCACACCTGCAACTGCAACTGCAAGGGGAAACCGCTGTGGCTTTGTGCACTGTTACTCCCATTGTGGGTCCCAATCTAATTAATTTGAAGCGGCGCGCGCGTCGTAAGCGTGTCAGTGGAGTGGAAAAATTGTTGCTAATTGAATAAACAGCCGATGCCTGATAAGCAGATACAATTCCCCTGAAGACAGCAGCTGATAACAGTGATAAGAAATTGATTTAATTACGAGCAAGGGAAGAGAGAGAGAGCTCCCCCCCTGGTGAGGGCTGCCACAGTGGGGCCCCTGACCTTACACACCAAAATAGCGAACAAATAGTGAGATTTGCCGTGTGCCGCGTTATCACTTGTTATCAGTCTTATCACACTTGTTGGTGGTGCCACCACGTGTTCGATGTTTTCCGATGGCAACTGGAAACTGTCCTAAATCTTGCATACGAACAGCGCGCAGGCGCTGAGAGTGTTCCATTGCCGAAACGTTACCCAAAACATCGCGCCATTCATAAAAGGCGGCAATTTGCTGGCAGGATGCTGTACGCCAGTACGACCAGTCGGTTGTCTGGGCACTCGGGTCTGCTCAGACAGTTTGCGGTGATTCCTACAACGAAGCGGTTGCAGCAGCAACAGCAGCAGCAGTGGCGCTCACTTTGAACGGAAAACTTAAACGAAAACCCAAGACTCTGAGGCAACGAACATTAATTCCATGAAGCAATTCGATTTGTGCCAAAGAGACATGAGAGAATTGATGATGCCTTGATGAGATTATCAGCTCAGATGTCCCCAAAGGATTGTTAATCGTGTAACAAAGTGCGTGTGGGCCCAAGACGAGTTAGTGAAGCCCAAAAACTACGGGCAGAAGTTTTCGCTCAAGTGTTGTTAAGTGTCGCAAAGTTCGCCCTGTGGTCGTGATAGTTAAGTGCGCTCAACGCCGCGCCAATTCAGTTCACTCACACGTTGGCCTTTTCCGCAAAAGTTTTTCCCGGTCGCCAGTCGCCCATCGCCCATCGTCCATCGCCCATCCGTCCTTTCCTGCCTGCCGCCTGACTGCCTGCCTGACCTGCATCCTTCCTTGCATCCTTCCTTGTCCTGCTGTCAAAATGTTGTGCCCAAAACAATTGAAGTTTTGACAACAAAATTTAGTTTGAGCAAAGCTCCACCGCACCCGTTTCATATTCTCCGCTTTTTTTTGTGGTGCGACCAGATTGGAGTGGCGGAACATTTTTGGTGAACTTTTGGCAGCCTGTCGGTGTGGCTTTGGCTAACTATAGAGAGAGAGAGAGAGAGTGCCACACGGGAGTACAACCCCTACACAATAGCAAACAGCGGGAACGTGTGATGTGAATGGTAAGTGCAGCAGGTGTAGTCCACTCCAAATCCCTGTTCCCATTTACTAGTTTGGAAAATGAAAAACTGAAATGAAATGCTTCCCCAGGTTTCCAGAATTCTTTGATGCGAGATGCGAATGAAAGGATTAAATAAGCTTTCTTTTCGATCTCTAATGGTTATTTGGTGGGAGTCTTCGGAAGGGGTTTATTATTTTTCAATAATATTACAATTTGAAACTCTCTTTTAAGTACCGAAAAAAGTGCTCAAAATAAAAGTTGCAAAAGTCTGAAATTGTTTTGGCAATGTTGTAAGCTCTCTGATTGCATTTTCTTTGATTTTGGCAAATCGTAGTAAAGTTTTCTCTGTGTGTGTGTGTGTGTGTGTCGAATTTATGGTACGCGAA